ATTCAATGACACTGCCACTGCCACTGCCTTCTCTAAAAGCTTCAGAAGCCAAAGAAAAGCTTTAGTACCCACTGAAATTGATGAGAATCTGTTCTTCACAGTTGGTCTAGGACTCAACAACTGCCCTAGTGGTTCCAGCCCTGCTAACTGTCAGGGTCCAAATGGAACTCGATTCACCGCAAGTATGAACAATGTATCTTTTGTGCTCCCATCCAGCTTTTCCTTGCTGGAAGCACATCAGCAACTTATACCTGGAGTTTTCACAACTGATTTTCCAGCAGCACCCCCAGTGAAATTCGATTATACGGGTAATGTGAGTAGAGCATTACAGCAACCAGTTCCTGGGACTAAAGTGTACAAGTTGAAGTTTGGGGCGAGAGTACAATTGGTGCTGCAGGGAACAAGCATCTTCACTGCTGAGAACCATCCCATTCATCTTCATGGATATGATTTTTACATAATTGCTGAGGGCTTTGGAAATTTCGACCCAAACAGAGATACAGCTAAATTCAACCTTGTAGATCCACCTCTACGTAATACAGCAAGTTTACCTGTTGGTGGATGGTCCGTGATCAGATTTGTAGCAGATAATCCAGGTGAAAATATTTATTTTCTTTACATCACTTTTTCTTATACCTATCAAATTGATGTTCTAACCTGTATATTTAACAAAATCAGGGGTCTGGTTGTTGCATTGTCACTTGGATGTCCACATCACCTGGGGTTTGGCAATGGCTTTTCTTGTGGAAAATGGAGTGGGGGAATTGGAAACTTTAGAGTCTCCTCCTGCAGACCTGCCCCTTTGTTAATTCCATACACAAGAAACATCTGATACAATTTAATGCCCTGTAAAAAGGGTATTTTCTGGTTTTTAGCATGTGAGTTTTATTGTTGTTTCCCTGCATTGGGGGATACGTTTTGTTCCTTTTATTATTTAAATACATAGGACGGGGTCGAAAATGATGGCGTAACATTTGCCGATCAAGCACAATCTGTAATAATTTACCTGCAAGTTCTTTGATCATACATCGCAGAAGTATTATTTCAAGAGACAATGAAAGAAATTTTTTCTTTTGTTTTTTGGATTTTCATATTTGATATTTAATGTTTCTATAATATCTGCATCTGCAACTGAAGAGCACAAAAAAGGAACTCCTGAATGCAGGAATGTATGCTTACACCCAGAAAATCACGAGTGCCAAATAGAATGAATTTTACAAATTACTTGGTCATTGTCAATTCAGTGAACAAGTGATCATTCAAGTTCCAGTTCGCAAATAGTGATGAGCTCGAATACTTACTTCGAGATACAAATACTATATTAATAAATTATATCTATGTTTGTCAGTGACATTTCTCGTAGAACATCTTCGATATACAAAGTGAATTATTGTACACGTGATAAGAAAAATTAGAATGAAAAAAAGAGTAGTATCTCCAATGGGGATCTGAATTGTACTAATTGTGAATCATAAGCACAAGAGAGAGTGTAAAGATAGAATGAAGATTAACTAACGTACTTTTTTGGTGAAAATCACGACTCGTTGGAGATAGTAGTAAAGGCTTAGAGAAACCTCAAATTGAGGGGCATAACTGAAGTTTTTGATTGTAAAGATGAAATTTGTATGAAAAGAAAATAAATGTGTTTGATTTATTTAGTTTTCAACCTAAAAAATATTATATATGTCCATTTTGATTGGTAAGTAGGTGGAAGAGAGGGAGTAGATAAAATAGAGAAAGTGAGAGTGAATTACTTAGAAAATAAAAATCATACCTCCCTAAAAAAAATATTTTTGTTTTGTTTTTGAGGAAAATATGGTCACGTAATAAAAAATTGAAGAATAATTTTCATAAAAAAATTTATCAATCAAACACTCCAAAAAATTAATTTGAAAGAAAAATGACACTATTAATACCCTTACGTAATTCTTCTAAAATATCCAGAGAAGGCTACAAATATCCCATCACCCATTCGAGAACGGAAAATTCTATTTGTACAACCAAGGTTAACAACCTTTCACACATGTGCGGGTTCGTATGTTTAAAATATTAAAAAAAAAAAAAAAAAGTGGACCTCCCATGTGAGTGGTTGTCAACCTCGATTGTACAACTAGCATGGCTATTCGAGAACATGCTCGATTTAGGGGGTGTATTTAATAAAGACTTTTGGAGAATTAAAAAGTTTAGGTGTATTCAATTGAGACTTTTAAAAATTCTCTAAAAGTTTAGGTTATTCAATAGAGACTTTTAAAAAGTCTCTAAAAGTTTCGGGGTATTCAATTAATTTTTTTTAAAAATCTCTATAAGTTACGAGGTATTCAATTAATAAGGACTTTTAGGGACTTTATAATGTGAAAATTACACCAACCTTAGTATCAAAATTCTGAATTCTACAATCAGATGGAAAGTTTAATATTTCCAAAATAAGATATATTATCATTAAATTTATTATTATTAAATATATTATCACAAACCCTAATTAATTCATCCAATTCAATTACAAACCCTAAAAATCGATTTTCACTCAAACTTCTCTCCATCTCTTCCTCACCCTCCCGTCTCTCTCCTCGGGAGCACGCCATTGCCAGAGCACCACCTCCAACGAGTTGCGACGGTGAAATGAAGTGGCAGTGTTTCTGCATCACGGTGCTCTGGAGGTGACGATGCTCTGGAGGTGGTGTCGCAGTGTTTCTCCTTGTGAATCTGCTTCACCAATCTTGATTAAAACACTGCTCAGATCTACCCACTCCGTCAGACGCCGATCTAGAGGCTAAGATGGTTGTTGTCGTCATTTTTTTGTAGGTGGTTATCATGTCGGGATGCAGGTGGCGGCGATGATGGTTTTGTAGTTGAATATGTGGTTTGTTCGTTGTTTGTATGTTTGGTGGTGATGGTTTCTGGTGCCGATGGAGGTGG